TAAGAATAAAAAAATCCAGATTTCTTTTCATTATGTTAGATAATGCAAAGATAGGCTAGTTAAACGATATGCGATATTTATAACAAATTTTTCAATGAAATCTTAAATTTTGATGTAATATTATGTAAATTGAACAGTAAATTTTTCAGGTATATCCAACTATGACAAATGCCATTATGTATTTTATATATATACACATCACACAGACGAGGTAAAAATAAAAAAATAAGCGAACTTTTTGAATTATTCGGCAACGGAGCGTCCTAGTGAAGTGCGATTTGCAGCATTACAAATGTCATTCAGGAAAAACGACAAAAAGAAAAAAAACATGATTTATCCGCGTTTTATTGGTTATAATGCAAACTGTTAATACATTATTAGCGGTTCATTTCGATTCTTTCCTTATTCACAAACTTCATTTATTTCTCACTAAATAAAAAACCTGGCAAATATTTACGATACGAAAAATTTACGTCAATAAGGAAATTAAGCGGTCTTTTTCGCTCGATAAAAATAAAGAAAGACAAAAATTAGAAAAACGCGTTTGTAAAAAGTCGCAATTATTGTAAAGTCAATTAAAACTTATGAGAACACGCTGTAATGTCGTTCTCATAATTATTCATTTCCTTTTCGTCTTTTACCGATGCCAATTACACAGAAAACATGAGGCATTTCGCGCATGTACATTAATGCAAATTGCAGATGTCTACACTTAAAATGCACGATCATTGCAAAACGATTTACTCGCGCGTGTAAACATGGAATCACTTAAAAAAGATCGACAGAGAAAGCGAATTAATTTAACTCCATTATTTGCAAGTAGAGTAAACATGGTTTCGCAAATTTCAAAAGATATTCATTTCGTAATTTGTAATTTAGAGTAAAAATTATCCTAAGTGTTGTGTGTGTGTGTGTATGTATATTATATGTTTTCAGTTTATTCTCAATGTAATAAATCCTTTCCAACTACACAAAACTTTCCAACTACTTTTCGTGTCTCTATGGGCAAAACCAATCAAATTTAGTAACTTTGCATGCAAGCTGCGTAATTCATTTATAATGATATAATTTTTTCCAATGGAACAACGCAAAGTTAAAAAAATAAATCTTGCAATATTTATTTGCGATATTATAAGATTTCCTTGTAGAGACAATGAAAATATTTTAATTCAGTTATCTCTTCCAAAAAGTTTTCTTATTTGTCTGATATTTTATACGAACACTTTACGTGAAGTTAATAATTAGACGCAATTAAAGCTTTGATGTAACATCACAGAGGAGCTCGCAGAAAGTTTAAAAAGAAACAGAAAATTAATATGGATAGAATTTTGTCATAAATTTTAAATGTTTGTATTTTACATAAACTATCAGTAAATTAATAGTATGAATCAATTAAATATCAAAAATGAAAATATTTTCATGTTGAAAAAAGTTAAAGTACATGGAAGGAAAATGAAATTTCAAGTATTACCTCTTTGGATCATCCTTCATATCGAAACCATCTATCTTTAGAATATTCCATTCGTCTCTCGGTCCCTTAGAATAACTAAAGGAAACCTGAAAAATAAAAAAAAGAATAGTTTGATTCAATAAGTCACAAAAGCTTTTTTATCATCAGAAAAAAATTGTATATTCGAAGAAACTATGTAACGTCATTGATATGATGTTACTCGTAAAAACGACATCGTTTATTTGATATATCATATATACATATGTATATACTAGTTTCTGCGAAATCTGATATCAGTAATATACTGATGATGAAAAAGAATACTTTTTGTATCAGCACTTTGCTTACGCTGATTATACAATTACTTACACGTAACTTGATCTGTACATTGTAACTCGATCTTCACGCATGCATTATATTACAATTAGCTAATAATTTATAAATAATTTATTGTAAAAAAACGCGAGTTTAAAAAACAAAAATAATTTCTAACTTATCAAATATACGATAGGTAATAGGTTCAAAAATGAGATTTTTGTTTTGAATAAAATAATTTAATTTCGATGAAAATTTTTATCAAGTTTTTAAAAATAATATCAATAAATGTCAAAATTAAGTCTTCTTCCTCTCTCTCTCTCTTTCTGATTTCTTCTATTATTACGTATTATATATTCATGATGCTGTATATACATGCGTGCCACATAAAGAAGAACATGTAAGAAGTAATGTACAGGCTCTATTTAATTGACACTTATCGATAAAAAAATTGACAAATTGACAAATCATATATTTTTAGCGTGTGAACTAATACTAAACGGAAATTATACGATTAAATAATGACTATTATATTTCGTGAAATAAAACAGATAGTGCTCCGGGTGGTCTGATCCGTGGACTTCAAATCATCCTATTATCGTATCATTATTTATCATCATGCTATTTATTGCGACCATTATATGCTCAGAATACGTAACAGACATTAACATTGATTATTTCTATCTTGAATTATAGTAACAAATCATTCTGCAGACAGATAAATTATGATAGATATTCAAATATCATTAAAGTGGTGTTTAAAATCAGCATGGCGTCTTATTAATGTTCAAAAAACAATGATAGCATTTTTTTTATAGTTTTATCGGTCCTGATCAAAATTAAAAAACGTTTTACATTTTTTTTAAATCAAAAATTTTTAAAATGCTAACTTCACATTTTGCGCATGAGTCATCGCGCATACTCATACCTCTGAAGTACCAGATGACAATATTCAACAGTTGTTAAAAATGTGCCCGTTAATTTTAAACTAAATTCATTATTATGTAATGTTTCAGGACGAAACAACTAATAATTTTTATACAGTTTTTAACATCCGTATTCCACGAAAACTATGAACTATAATCAAATGTGTTAAAAGTTATCAGCACGATATTTTGCTGTGAAATACGGTTATTCAAAATAATATATTAGGTGTTGGAATTAATTCGTAGCGTTTTACAAGTGATGGGAAGTACTTTCATTAATGCTATTTTTTAATGCTCATGTGAAATAAATAACATTCTTTCATTAAAAAACGCTACGAATTAATTCCAACACCTAATAAAAACTATTAATTATAGAAATTTTATCCTGAAACGTCATATAATAATAAATATAGCTTAAATTTAACGAAAAAACTTAACAGAGGTCTTAATATTCGTGGCATCTGATACTTTAAAGGGAGAAATGTGTTGGAATGCGAAGCACGGCATTTTTATATTTGTGATCATATGGTATTAAAAATATAAAACATTTTTTAAATTTTTATTAGAAATGGTTGAACTATGAAAAATATTATTGGAACTAGCATTATTTTTTAATAATAGAATGCCCTGCTAACTTTACAGAATATGGATCTGTGAAGTTAACACGTGGTTCTTTATAAAAATAAAAAGAATTCCCAATTTTTTCTAAAAATAATTTAAAAACCAAAATTGAAAAAGTAGCAATTGGAACTGTGTTTGAAAATGATTTGCAGAGCATACAATTCTTCTAGAACCAGAAATATCGTTAGAATATTGTGACAAATTACAACACGACACTTTTTTCCAAATTTGCCTTTTACATTTAAAGTTTATTATAATTGTTAAAATTTTGATTTCAAATCACATATATTGATACAACTTGAGTAATACTAACGGGAAATTATAGTCAAAAATGGAAATGTTTTTCTTTTTTTTTTTTTTGTACTTTAGAGAAGAAGTGCTATGCTAGAATCACTAAGTTAGCAACTTAGAGAAGAAGTGCTATATTTCCAATTATTTTTGTTAGTGTAAAAAATGCAGAACTATTTTTATCTTGATAAACGACTATAGAATTATGAAAAATGCTACTGAGACTATCTTTTTTTTTATATATTAATAGAATAGCATGCTAACTTTATAAATCCATTGAAATAGACTTCTTAATCTAATGATTGAAGTTCAGAAATTTGATTGACCATGTCAATAAAAAAGAAATTAATTACATAATCAACAACAATTATCTACTGTAATGCATCTCAACATCACCGAAATAAAAATCACAAATCAAATTCCATCATATAATTACCAAATGCTTAATTAAAGTATATTAAAAAGTATATGAGAAAAATCATCTCCAAAATAATCTTTAAAATATATAAAATTCTCTTATTCAAAATAGAATTTAGAAAGAAAAGAATGTCGAAATTACCTGTTCATGAAAAGTATCCTTGCTTAGGAATTTCATTGGCTCCAAATGTGAATGGAACTGTTCCACCACAGTGAGCTGTTTTTTCAGAAGATACTCAATGATGTATCCCATTGTTACATCATCTGGCAACCTAATTCTGTCGCCAATAGTGATGAACTTTCCTCCACTGAAACAGATATAACAATACCAATGATTATTCGCGCGATCGGTTACAAGATCTCGAAAAGTTATTACAAAAATATTACAAAAATATCGTGCTCGATCAGAAAAGTTAGCGATTTCGTTTGCGGTTAGATTATTATAAATTATTTTCAGCTTACCATCGCTTTGCGCTGGAAATATACCTAATATTTGCCTGTAATTCTCTATATAACGACACATGATGACATCTCTATTGTTACATAAAAAAGATTATTACTTGCATCAATGAATACTACCGACATTTGTCACATTCTAGGAAATGTCTTCGATTTTCTCGATTTTGTTAATTAGAATTTCCTTAATGTGAGAATCCTCACAAACGCACTCTATTAAATAAATAAATGATAAATAAATAATAAATACACAACAAGTACGAATAATACAGGTCGATTGACGCCAAATGATAAAAGACTAGCGAATTGCTTTTTTTCGACATATCCAGAATCATTTTGAAATTTCAAAATTAATGAATCTGAGGCGCCCAATCATAGAGCGCGTTAAAACACAAGACAAAGCTGCAAGCCTGTTCAATGAGCCATTGAGTGTAATTGGTTAGATCTATAAATAATTCGGCGAATAGATTAGCTGCTTTGTATACCTTCCAACAAGTAACATAGTGCGACACAGTGATTACGTCATCTTTGTTTAACATGTTTGCAAACAACAAGGATATAATGATCCATTGTGTCACACCGTCATTTGTGTCACTTGTTGGAAGGTACACTTTTTTGTCAACTTGAACTCTCCTATATTGAACAAACAAAACGATCGAACTTGTTCGACATAGAAATTTAACAAAAATGGAGCTTTTGTGTTATATATCAGACTAATTTGAATCTTTATTTTAAAAGTAAAAATCTGTTCAATACATATATAATGGTTGCTTGCACAACAATTATTACACTATACTTAACTAATCAATTTTATCTTTTAGATTGTGGAAATATGAAATCTGTTGCGTTGCTTGAAATCCTCCCAAAAATTTAAAAATGAGATAAATATATATTTAAGCAGTGGAAAGAGAGAGAGAGAGAGAAAGCGAGTGAGTGCAAAAAGTGTAAACACGAACAGACTTGTGAACGAAAGCAGTGGCATCGTAACAGTAGAATCCCTATACAGATAGGGACTCTAATGAGAGATGACGAAAGAGACCTCGCGTGGTTATGTATGGTACTATTATACTGACTGATGACTGCTGCTATCTGATGATGATTAGAGAAACTATTTTCTCGAATACTTCAAAGATATCAGAAAGTTTGCCTAATGACAATGGATAAAAACACGGTGATTACTGCAAACCTTCTGTGATATCTTTGAAGATAATATCCGTAAAAAGCGTTATTTTCTCGAATGTACTACTTTCAGAAATATTTAGAAAGTAACTTTTTTTCATTATCACAATTTTTTATTTTACCCTGAGTTCCGTTCCTGCTTTCTCTTCTTTTGTAAAAAGTTATTAATTATGAAAAAATGTTTACTTTTATAACTTTAAATAATTTTAGAGGACTTATTCCATAAAAATTTTATCTTAAATCTAAATAAATATTTTATAAAAAAATTCCTTAAAAAATATAGAAAAAAATGTAGAAAAAAATATTTTCATATAATTTTTATTCTGATAAATGTCTGCATTAAATTAAAGATTCAAGCATCGTAAAACCGAAAAATACTAAAATCTACGCCATGCAACTCTTAAGGAGGAGCGGATGTAGGTAAGATAATATCATCAAGAGACAAAATCCTGATCGAAAATCTAATAATCGTTGTTACATAAGATAGAAAATTAATCATTTTAAACTTTACTTCGATCTTCCAACGTTCTTCGTTCAGATATAAAAATGTATAGATATCCACGAGTTTTTTTTCAACTAATGCGTTTAACGATAATTCATACCTTATAGCCACACTTGTGGCTAATTAACTATCGTTAATTTACTTTCGTAATATTCTTTCATTTAATTACTTTATGCTTAATAAAACTGCAAGATTAAAAAAATTTCAAAACAATCTTCTTTCTCCCTTTAGTACAATTATGGAATGTTAGAATAAACTAATTAAATCAACAAAAAAAATCTATCAAACTTTTCTAAATAATAATTGTATACTTAAACGTAATTATAAATATTTTCAATAAATTAATTCTTTACTTGATACAATTGAGTTAATTGAACTAATATTATATGTATTTTTTTAGCTGAAGGAACTATATAGAGAAAAAATTAATTAAATGTAATTAATGATTACAAAAATTATTTTAGCATGATAAATAAATCAAATATAAAATCAAATATAATGTATTACTTAAATGTCAAAATAAATAATTCTTATAAATGTAATAACTCTTGGTATGATGATATACAATTAAAAATGTAATAAAATACATGCATTTTAAGAAATATTGTTTTTTTACATGCACAGTTATTATTATTATTATATAATATTTCCAGCATTTTCAAATCAACATTAAAATAGCTACTAATTATTAATTTGATTAAAAACGCTGTGATGTATATTCGAATGTACAATATAATTTATTGCTGTCGCTCGAACGTTCAACGTCTGCTTACGAGCATCTGCTACATGAAATAATTACCAGCCACTACCCGCGTTGCGTATGAAGTAATTAACTCATTCCCATGGCGCCATGCACCTTATGTGTTCGAGCGCCCGCAGAAGCAAAGAACGATGGTCCCCTGGTCTTCGCTAACCCTTTTCGCGACGGTCGTTCATCCGCGCGCAACGAATTATGGGGAAAAAAAAGTCTGAGACACGTCACGGAACCTCGGGACAGGGTCCCCGGCGGGAATAAATTACCGGCCCTATGCACCACCCTGAAAGTCACGCGATGCCAGTCTAAAGGTCCTTAAGTCCTTCGCGTGGCACTCGTCACGCATGCACGATTAAAGTCGGCCGGAAACGCTGCTGTCTCGATGCGAAAGTCGCTCTCGGATATGGAAGGAGGAGTGTATACAACGAGTAGTACGGCGAAGATTGTCGCAAAAAAAGGATACCACTCCCTTAAAAAAAATAAGAAAAGGATAATTGGCTTGGCCAGAATCAGGGTGGGATCGTGAAACAAGACCAATCGTACAGTGCCCATCATGTAGTTCTCTCATGTCTATGCAACCAGAGATACGCGATGCCTGGCAACTCGATCATTCGACATTCCCATAGATAACTCGCCAATAATCGTGCGGGATTGACCATTACGTGTACGAAGCGTTAACGTTCATTTCTCACCGTCATATACTTCATTAATCTTAGCATTAATCAAAGCAGACGCTAGAGAACGAATGTGTTCTGTCCAGCCATCGCGCGCGAAGTAACGATCGCTTTTCACCCAATAATGTACTCGTCCGATCGTTACTCTTCTTTATAATCTAGAATATTTACTGGCTTCTTCGTCGGAGCTCTCGCGACGAAGAAGAGAAAGGCGCAGAAATGAAACCCGTGATTTCGGTGCACGTGACGTGAACGTTTAATTACGTCGACGACGATGGCGACGACAATCGCAACAAGAAGACCGGAGCTTTAATTCGGCTGCATTCCGCTCATGTAGATTAGGTCGGAGTGGGAGACGCACCTGCTGCTCGTAACTGCTGTTGCTGTTGCGCGATCGCTACCGCTTCTCCACTTCAAACTGGTCGATTCGCATTAAAGCCGACCTCCCTTCGTATTTATTAAGCATGCTTGCTACCAACACGCGATACGTGGCTCTGTAGTAACGAATTTCCGTCGATAAGTCCGTTATTAATAGAACTCGATCCACCGTTGAACACTGCATCACAATCATCGATACCGTTAGCAATTGACGATTATAATAGGTCTGTTTAACTTCCTTATACTTTTTACACTCAGCATCTTCGCTTTCTCTCTTTTCAGCGTCAAATATATATCCATCTTATTTTAAGTGTAAAAAATGTAAAAAAAAGTGTAAGCAAGTCGAACAGACCAATTGGTTTGTTTGCTATACAACCGATCATGGCGATAGCGTGCGCACGAGAACGAGATTCACGCACGATCGATCGCGAAACTGTTTTCCGATCGTGTCAATCAGCACCTCGTAACGTGAACACGTAATCTCCATTAGGGAACGCGGAACTGATTCTCCTAACTGCTGTATCACGTCGATAATCCTTGTTTAGGAATGCGAGACATTTTCTTCGGTTATCGTTGAACTTCCGAACGATATTAACGTGAATCAGCACGTACATAGTCTACCTGCAAAAGTCCTGCAACAGGTGGTCGTGATGTCTTGTCTTGAAAGAGAGACACCGATTCGCACGAATCGATGAAAATTTCGACAGGCGAAGAGTCTATGGCTGGCTGCGAAGTGAGAGATGCACGATCCACGACGGACATAAATCGTGCCAATTAGAGACGACGGCAGGTAGTCACAACTTCGGTGACCAAACCTGTGTGTGTGTGTGTGTGTGTGTGTATATATATATATATATATATATATATTGACCAGTAACTTCGCGTGAGAGAAAGGAGGAGAGTGCCAGACATGTGAAAGAACACGAACAGGCAAATGTCTCAAAGAGGCACCGCCGCCGCGACCTGAAGGTACACGAAAGACTCTTAGGAATGGGAAACACGTTCGATATGTTAGGATAAGACAAGAAGAAATTCCTAAATATCAGGAGCGACTAAATTAGAACTAAAGATTTCATTTTATAATCAGTAAACAAACATGTGATTGTATTATTCCAAGATAGGATATATATATAAATACAAGTGTGAGAGAGAGAGAGAGAGAGATATACTTAGTTTTTCGATATGCTAAAACTTCATGTTTACGTACATCAACTTTGACGTTGGACCCAAATTCTTTGAATCAAGTGTTAGAAGTTAATTCTAAATTGTAAATTTTATTCATCTTGAATACCTTTGAAAAGTGATGAAGCCTTGTACTCCGATTCTGTTTGATTCAATATGCCTTCTGTTCAATATGCCTTTGCGGTATTTGTTTTAGTTCAATATATCCTATTAAATTCATAATATCATTATAATCAATTTGAATTATTTTTAATCATTTCTGTAGATCATTATTGTTCCTACATATATCGTTAATTTGACTACAACAATGGAGTTAAACAATGTAATTCAAGAAAATATATTAAATTTGACTCAAATTTATTTTATTATTTACTAAATGCAAATATTATAAACGACATTTACTCTTTGAAACTAACTACAGAAATGAATTAATTTACATTTTGAAACACATGAAAATTAAAAATAACAAAAAAATGCTATTTAACTCAAAAGATTGAAGGTTACTCCTTTAATATCTAACAGTATATACGAAGTAATTGTTTATTACCAGTGATTCTAGCTCGAAGAACCAAATTTAACTGTCATATTTGTGGTTCATTGAATCTTCTTGTTTTTTGAGTAATATGTGAGAATTGGTTAACTTTTCAACGATCAATTGTAATATATAGATGTACTTCTGAGTCTAATTTATTATGAGATATGTTGTCTCGTCAAGTGTTTAAAGCTAACTAACTCCTCATTCTTCTCAGGTATTTCATGAGGTATTCGCAATACGATTGTCCAAATATACTAGTGTTATCTATCGCAGGAATTTACGTTCTATCCATCGATCACATTTTAGGGCGGCACTCATAGTTCGTTTTTATTTCAAGTCTATAATGTCTTAAGATGCTAATACAGCATTCTGATTAGTTCGTGACTTCTTAAGATTGTACTTAAGACGATCTTGAATATAAGATCTGACTACGAATATCGACCATAAAAATCATGGTATATAACAAAATTTAAGACGTAAGACTTAAGTAGTAAGCGAATTGACTAACAGTAAAGATCGTAAGACTATATTAATTTTCTTACTGCTTAAGTCTTACGTCTAAAATTTTTTTACGATATGCCATGGCCTTAATATTTCGCACTCGATCAATCGATAATTCCAACATAGAATAAAGATATTATAAAATGCAGAAATTCAAATTAAAATTAATAAATCTGGAATAATCATGCAGAAATCACGATGAGAATCCGTTGGAATCGCTGTTATAGTTAATCCTGTTTGAAAACTAGATCTTTCGGTTGGCTTAAGTTATAGAAACTCTGGCGATATGCCCTCTGACGATGCGGATCACCGCATTCTCATTTGTTAAGACGACCATCGGATACATAATCCGACATCTCTCGGAGCCGTTGAATGTGCGGAACCAGAAATACGCTTCTTAGGCTAGGTCGTGTACGACCTGCATACATTTGCGATGCAACGAGAGCCTCTCAACCGGCAAAATGGATGGAGGAAGAGAAGGAAAAGGGAGGCAGTGCAGGTGTGCTCGGCAGGATAAAATAAGGTAACGACGAAATGAAGCACTCGCGATGCGGGACTTACTACGTCGACATAATGC